GGTTTCATCGAGAGCCAAGTGAAACTCGTGAAACGTACCTTAAAAAAGGCATTTGAAACATACCAAGACCCATACCTGAGCCTTCTTGCTCTGAGAACAACACCAATCAACAACAGCTTACCGTCTCCCGGACAAATGCTTTTCAACAGACAACTGCGAGACACAATGCCAAGAAAGATACATCGCGCTGCAAACAATGAACAAATTGAGAAAGGACTAGAGAAAAGGCAGGAAAAACAAAGGCACTACTATGACCAACACACAAAGATCCTGCCGCCTTTATCAAGAAATGAACATGTGACAGTTCAAAACGCAAAAACAAAAAATTGGGAACCTGCAATCGTCACCGAAAAAGTCTCGTCACCGAGATCGTATGTCATAAATCAGCACGACACACGAGACCTACGCAGGAACAGAAGCCAAATCCGTTCTGTTCCTTCCCCCAGACAAGTTCAACGTGAACCACCAACTGACCCACCTGCACAACCCCCAGTGACAGAACAAGCTGCACCTTTACTATCACCACCTGCACCCAGAAGAAGTGGAAGAAAGATCAACGCTCCACAACGCCTCGATCTTTAAAAACCTCAAATTCATACTCATCGGAACCCTCCACGTCTTTTATTTTTTTTCTTAAATGGAGGAAGAATGGTCAAAAGGATTAGCCTGATGCCATTTCTATGCAAACATGTAGATGTGTAGTTCGCAAACACCTACATAAACAAGTGAAAACATACTACCCATGCAAACAGCAGATACAGATCAAGAGAAATGGAAGGAGAGAGGTTTCAAATCACACAAATAAACAACACACTAGGAAGTGAATATGGCCATTCATTCATTTTTTTCAGCTTCAATAAACTATACCTGGTCCTGACGTGCATGACTGTGAAGTCCTCGGCACATGAACATGAACAAGTGTGGGAATCTATCCCGTGACTAGTAGAACTCTATTGGACAATATCTCCATAGAACTTAATACACAGATATTTGGACATTAATTTACTAGACAAGTACCGTGGAGGCTAATTTTCTCATCCCCAAATCAATAGCATAACATTGCATTTTATACAAATCTACCCTTAGGAGAACTTCAATCCTTACGATATATATACACCGCTATAGATTATATAATTTTTTTTTTACAGAAAAGGGGATGTCATGATATTTTAATGTTTACCGTACACGACTTCATTGTTATACTACCCGTGTTCCAGTGACCTTATAACCCCCTCGCTTTTAGTTTCCTCTTAGTCTTTGTTCTGTTCGCACTTCGAGTCTGTGTCCCGGCCGCTATACATGATGAGCCATTAAACCTCTGTGCCTTATCCGCTGTGTTCTGTTGTCGATCATTCCTTGTACTTGTGTATGTGTATACAAACACGACATACCCGACCCGATCGTGTACGTGGGAACCCCCTGTAACATTCCATTCAACTGTTTCATAGTGGTCTCACTTTACTTTTACAAAATTCCTCCCAATATAGAAAACTAATCTAGATCTTGATAAATAATAATTCTCTCTTATCCAGTTGTAAGTTTTGTCCAAACACTTGCCAACAGCAACCAAGAAAAGCTAATCACACATTATTAGAGACCTGCTAACGTAAATAATATTTTGCTTAGTCACGTCGTTTACATACCCTCTGGAACGGTCTGCCTAGATTCTATATCTAGATCTATATTGTGAGGATAGCCACTGTGCTTCCCTCTATATTCGCCTAGATTCTACTAGATTTCTAGATCTATCTGTAACTCAGGTTGTGACAGTGATAAACTAGGCCTAGATCTAGATCTACATCTAGATTCTAGATCTAGATCTAGAGTCTAGATCTCTAGATCAAGAATCTTGATGATAGAGTAGAGTCTTTAAAAGTACTATTTAAGGCTAAGAAGGCAATGAAGAATGATGAGAAGCCCTCGACTCCACAAGTCCAACTTACGTGACGAGGAACCAGCGGGCAACCATTTCACAAAGGTAGACAAACTAGATCTATGAAGAGTCTGTGATCTGATGATTGCATGCCGAACAGGACACAGATGATGCGAAATGACAACAACTGTCCGGAGCGCCGACATTGTGACAGTATTGCGGGTCAACAGGCAACAGCAACAACAGCCAACAGCCAGCACTTCTCGCTTGTCGCTGCGGCTTGTTTACATCTAGGTCATGCGTATTTCGTTACTTGTCTCCCTTTGACATTTTTATTTTTACACCCAATTCACAGTTTAGTGCGAGTTCACGCTATTTCGATTTACATACGGTTTTGTGTGATCTGCTGGATGGCGGCTTCGGTCTGCTCTGCTCGAAGTTGAATGGTAAAGGCACAAAATCGTAACAGACCATAGCTCGTCCGACACATAAATAGCATAGTATTTTGAGAATAATACTTTTTGATAGCATTTACTTGGAGCCTTATAACATTCCGGACATTGTAAGTCGATGTGAAAGGGCGCTTTTCTATCAGGCAGGGCGTCCTTTTTTCTGCACACCTCCATCTGAGGTTGAAAATAAACATTAAACACAGTTAAGGAACATCTGCAGGTACACCAAAATCCCAGGAGTCTCACGGAAAAGAAAGTTATATGGAGTGTTACGAGTTAGCGGACTGAGGAGTAGGGCTTAACAGTAACAGAATGAATAGGTAAATGATATTGTTGTTGTTGTTTTTGTTGTTTCTGTTGCTGTTTTTGTTGTTTCTGTTGCTGTTTTTGTTGTTCCTGTTGCTGTTATTGTCGTGGTTTTTTGTTGAAGTTATGGTACTGCCAGGCCTGACTTTCAAGTACATTGAATCTAAGCGTTCCTTAAAGAAAATGTTAAGAAGGTGTGAAAAACGGGAGCATTTTTTTAAAACGATAATGATAAGGATACGGACATGGTAAAGTAATAAGGTGTGGTGTGAAATGAAAGTCCTGAAATGCTATGTTTGGTCAACCCTTCTATGTGGCTGTAAATGCTGGACAATCACTAAAGACAGTGAAAATAAAATAGAGGCAACAGAAATGTGGTTACTTAGGAGACTGCTAAGAGTATCGTGGAAGGAAAAAGAAATCAAATGAGGTAGTGCTTGATGAAGCCCACGTGGGACGCTCAATGTTAAAAACAATCAGGAAACGACAAATGCAGTTTTTGGGACACCTGAATAGACATAAGGGTCTTGAACATCTAGCTCTCACTGGAAAAATTGAGGGCAAGCGAGGCAGGGGTAGGCCCAGAACAACATACTTAGGGAACCTAAACAAATGGGTAACAGGGGAAAATCAGGGAAACGTAGCTTTTCTGAGAGCATCCGAGCAAAGGAATGAATGGAAAATCATGATCGCCGATGTCTGTCGCAGATCTGGCACTGGATGATGATGATGGTGTGAACATCCACAATAAGAGTACGGCACGAGGGGAAAGAACCATTGGTGACATATCGTGCTTACTTGATTGAGAGGTTCCTTCCCTTGACACCGTCCCCAGAGAGTATTTAATTATATTTAAGAGTCTCTGCTGTCCCTGAACTCACCATAAAGACGTATTAATATCCATTTTAATTTATTGATTTTTCCGTATATTAATTCCAGAACACAAAGAAGGCCAACTACATCATGTACTTTATCAACATCGCCATTGCTCGTTGTCTCTCCAGTTTACGAGTGTCTTGTTGTCCAGTGCTGCTCTTGAAGACGTTCAGATCAAGTGATAGGGTAGCGTCAGTGGTAGGTCTCGTTGTTTTTTCTTACCCAGTGTTGTTTCTGTCCTTTTTTTTTTGTAAGTGCTTTACGGCCCTCGCAGCTGCAAAAGGTCACATGAGCGCACGGGACACAATAAACATTTTCAGTTGGTAGGGCATTTTGAGTTTGGCCCGGGTGGAGGCCGAAGCCTACTCTTATCGATTTTCGACCACCAAGGGATCTGTAACGTGTGCAACCTGCACACTAGGCGTAGATCTTTACTACCATAAGATCAGGGGTGTAGCTCAAAAGACTTCATCTCTCCCTGCTGTAAATGACCGTCACCGTGTTGATCTTTTTCTCTTTCCTCAATTAGAAGCAGCAGACTGGAAACATTCCCCTTTTTATTGGTTTGTGGACATTCTAGGGGGACTCTCGTGACCTAACTACAGGTTAAGGTGTTCGCCTCTCATTCAATAGGTCCCAGGTTCGAATCCGGATAGTGACAGAAAATTTTCTTATCCAAACTTTCTCCTTTCACACCCGTTCCTGCTCTTTAACAATGTTATACCGTCTGCTTTCGTCTCCAGTTTCTTCCCCCACCCCTCACCTCCTTTACCCCCCCCTCCTCTAGGCTCCTGACTCTTTCTGCAACCTTTCTACTGTTTCCTCTTGGTCCCTACTGTCTTTCAGCCACGCCCCTGATCTTATGGTCGGAAAGATCTACACCAACCCTTCTCGGACAAGGGCGAACATCTCGGAGGTTCCTGGTGAAGGTGCGCACTTAAAGACCCCTTGACTGTCCAAGATAGATAAGAGCAGGCTTTGACCGTGACAAGGCAAAATTCCAAATTTCCTACCAACAGAACATGATTGGTGTGTCAAGCGCACTTATATGACTTTATGCAGTTGCGAGCGCGCCGTAAAACACTTACAAAAAAAGGGACATTCTAGATGTTTGGTGGACATTCTAGATGTTTGATCGACATAATGTTAGAATAGAGAGGCCTACTTGTTCGACATTCTAGATACTTGATCGACATTATAGATATTTGGTGGACATTCTAGATGCTATGATTGTGAACATGTAGCTTAGTAGTAAATCTAGGCCAATGCGTGCTAGAACATACAGACCGCCGTGTTATGTTTCTTCAATTAGTGTAGCGCTCTCTATGTGCCTTCACCCATGCACCCGTCTCTTCCATGACAGCACCTGACAAGAACAATGTTTGTACAAAAAAGTGTTCATTAGTTCATAGTTTTCTTGTTTACGATCCAATTGAAACCAGAGCTGAACAAAACTAGAATTACATCCGGCGGTCATCCGGTTTACCTTGATTTCATTTTCATGACTATTATCAAAGACAATTTAGCGCTGGTTGACATGACTGGGGCTCAAAATATCTAAGCCTTATATTCAACTTATTGGGGATGCGCATTTCTGTCATTCGGAAAAGCTTGAAGACACTATGGAGAAAGGCATAACTTGATTATTCAATTGCTTGAAGACACTATAAACAAAGGCATTATAACTTATTGTTGGTTCAAAATTTTTTACATTGCTGTTATCTTCTTCTGAAATTTCAGAGAGCAGGCAACAACATGCACATTATGAAATGCAAGTTGACGTTTTCAGTTTGTGTGTGATGGTTTAAAAGGTGCAGCAACGTCCTCATAGAGTTAAGAAAATAGTCTGCATTGCATTTTAAAAAAACCAAAAAACCAAAAAAAACCCAACAGTCTACAGTGCATTACTAAGAAAAGCAGTCTGTGCTGCATTAACAACAAAAATAGTGTACATTGCATCAACAACAAAAACATGTCAGTAGAAATTAGCGGTCTTCCCAGCGCCCCTGTGTCAGAAACCGTTGCACAAAGAATATTTCCTAGATTAGACATCTATATTATATGAAAGCCATTGAGATTTTTGTCCGAATGTAAATACATCATGTATAAACTTACGCCCTATCCAGGTGTCGCCGAGGGAAGCATGCCAGTTTGTCACAGGCCTCGACTGCGCTCTGCAAGATGGAAGTTATCACTGACTCTCTCAAAAAGAGTAAACGAATGATTGATTGACTGTATGAAGTGAATTTCATTTTTAAATTGTTTTTTTTTTTTACGAAAGAACATTCATTGTTGAAAATTTACAAAGTAATTCGCTTTGATTTGCATACAAAAAGGAAGAAATATTGAACAACACTAGCTGAATTTACATTTATTTTAGAGGAACTATCTCTACACCACCAATTTGAAGATGGAGAATAAAACAATTATGTTACATTTACAGTGCTAAAATGCTGTAATTTTGACTACCATCAATACTCAAACACACTAAAAAATTAATGAAATTGTGACAAACTGGGCCTGTGACAAACTGAGGCATGCCAATTTGTTACAGGCCCCAGTTAGTTGAGTTAGTCACAGGCCCTAAAGTCCCTCTAAAATTAAAATGTCAATTTAGTTTGTGTTGTTCAATAGTTCGTCCTTTTTGTATGCAAATCAAAGCAATTTTAAATTACTCTGTAAAATTTCAAAAATGAATGTTCTTTCGTTTAAAAGAAAAAAGAAAAAGAAAATTCAATTCATAGTGGGCCTGTGACTAACTGGGCCTGAGACTAACTGGGTCTGTGACTACATGGGCTGGGCCTGTGGCTAACTGGGCCTGTGACAAACTGAGCCTATGACAAACTGTAGTTTGTCCAGTGACAAACTGGGCCGGTGACAAACTGGGCTTGCCACTCACTGGGCCTGTGGCAAACTGGGCAGTCCCCCGCACAGAGCTACAGTAATGCCCATTGCCCATAATGCTTCCTCGGTTCACGCTCATGATCTCTGTCATCGAAAGAATGAAAACATCAGAAAATGGCTTTTGAACTAAGTGCACAGCTACTCTGCTCGAGATGTAAGTACATGAGAAATTGACCGATGCATACATAGAGGCAGACAGAAGGCAGTAAAGGAGAGAGAGAGAGAGAGAGAGAGAGAGAGAGAGAGAGAGAGAGAGAGAGAGAGAGAGAGAGAGAGAGAGAGAGAGAGAGAGAGAGAGTGTTTAATAGATATAGAGGCAAACAGTCTTACATTCAGACAGACATACTGACAAGTAGACTTACATACAGGCAGGTAGACAGAAAGAGGGGTGGGGGTGGTGGGAGGGGATAATATGCGAAGTGGCGCGGCGACAGATGAAATCAAGATGTTGCCTGTAGGACAGACGGTGTGGGAGTTTCCCACAGCCCCGCCTCAAGGCCCGGAGCGGACCCCGCGGTATGAGATCATCGCCTTCCTCAGTCTCTGGTAACCCATGACTACCCCCGCGTCACTTCCGGTTCTTGCCCGAGAGATTCTGGTTCTCCGTTCCTTCTTTATCGTTCTCTTTCCTTCCTCTCAGCAGTGTGCTCACAGGTTGCTTTGCCATGCGTATTGGGGGAGGAGGGGGGGG